TCCTGGCGTCCCGGCGCCCAGCGGACAGCAGGTTTAAGGAACGAAGAGACCCGAAGGGCTCAGAACCTAGCAGCCCCCGACTCTGTTCCGCAAGCTCCGCCCCTGGAGCCCGCTCCTCAAGCAGGATACGCCCCGCGGGCCCCGCCCCCTTACCTTCGCATTTGCTGGGCAGGCGAACCCAGTCGTTCTCCTCAGCTCCTGCCTGGCTTGGGCCCAGCTCCGGGGCCAGCAGCAGCAGCAAGGAGAGAAGCAAAAGACAACGGGACGCGGGCTCAGGTGACGACTCCATGGCCCAGCAGGACCCGACCGGAGCGGACCGCGCGGCGCCTCCTCCCGCGACGCGCGCGGAGCTGCTTCCTCGCGCCGCTTCCGGGACTGCACACGTGCCTCCTCGTAACCACGACAACAGCGAGCCTCCCGCCCGCCCTCCTCTAGCAGCCGCAGCCAGCCTCAAAGCGGACCAAGGCCCGCGGACGGCGCAGCCAATAGGCTTGCTGGGGTTTGCCCTTTAGCGAATGGGAGGACTACCTTTTTTCGGCCTTGGCCAGTAAGAGAGCAGATGGTGGCCTCAGCGACCTATGGCAACGTCCTTTCCCATCCCCTAACGGAGGCTCTGGGAGAGGATGCAGGACCAGGACCGGAGGAGAAGAAGCCCGCGTCTGGGCCTGGGTGAGATGCGTTCGCGCGCGCAGGTGCTGGAAGATGTGGGAAAGGCCGCCTTCGCGGCTTTCCCCGCCTCCTCGAACGTCACTTCCCTCCCGGGGTTCTAAGGCCGCAAGTCCTTACTGAACACCTGTTTTTAAATGTTATTATTACTGTTGTGGTTGCTATAGCCAGGCAGTGTTGTAGGCGCTTAAGGTGCGAGCAGGGCGACTCAAACAGTCCCCAGCCTTCAAACTTTCTTAGTACCCAGTAGATTTGTCCTAGTGAGAACTAGAACAATTACTTTCTGAGCCTGTTTCTATTTGTATGACAAAGTGGTCCTCCTGTCTGCTGTGTGAGCTTGGCCTTTTTTTGGGAAGCTCAAATAGGTTAATGGAATTAAAGCTTATCGAGCAGATTGTAAAAAGTTCAGGCATTAATGTTCTTTTTGTATGTAATCCCAGCCCCTTTTACTGCCCTATTATTTATTTCTTGATTTTAAGCTCCCAGAAGGCAGGAATTTGGGTGATGAAGGATTGTATCTCCCTTCCACCTCCCCGGCAACAGCAAGGTGCCTGGCACAAGGAGGTACTCAGTAAAACTCCCATCTGCTGTGTCATTAAGAGGAACACTTCATGGCTCACGCCTGTAATCCCAGAACTTTGGGAGGTCGAGGCGGGAGGATCACCTGAGCCTAGGACTTGGCAAGCAGGTTGGGCAAAAGAGTGAGCCCCTGTCTGGAAGGAGAGAGAGAGAGAGAGAGGGAAGGAAGGAAGGAAAAGAGAGGAAAGGAAAGGAAGAAAGGGAAGGGAAAGGAAAGAAAGGGAAAAGAAAGAAAGGCCAGGTGCAGTGGCTCATGTTTGTAATCCCAGCTCTTTGAGAGGTCAAGATGGGAGAATTGCTGGACAGGAGTTTGAGACCAGCCTGGTCAACATAGCGAGACCCCCGCTCAAAATCAATGCCCCCGCTCAAAATCAATCAATCAAAACAAAAAAAGAGCAGGGTGGGCGCAGTGGCTCACGTCTGTAATCCCAGCACTTTGGGAGGCTGAGGTGGGCAGATCACGAGGTTAGGAGTTCCAAACCAGCCTGGCCAATATGGTGAAACCTCATCTCTACTAAAAAATACAAAAATTAGCCGGATGTGGTGGCTGAAACCCAGGAGGCGGAGGTTGCAGTGAGCCAAGATCGTACCACTTCACTCCAGCCTGGGCGACAGAGCGAGACTCTGTCTGGGAAAATAAAAATAAATAAATAAAAATAACTAACTGAATAAAAATAATAACAAATAAATAAATAAAAATAAAGAAGAGCACTCTGGGTTTTGGGGTCTTCTTCAGGCAACAACTCCATGGCTCAGCCGGACCCAACTCGAGCAGACCAGGCGGTGCCTCCTCCTCAGTGTCCTACAGATGCTCACCGACCAAAGTTGCTTCTCTGGGAAGTTGTCTGCAAATTGGCCATAAAACCCTGTTCCCTGATACCTTCTTGTTTCCTTCCTAGAGGTTGGATATTCATGCTATTGTATGAAGATGTCAAAGGACTGAGGCCCAAGCCTTGTCATTTTCTGACCTTAGTTTCTTGTTCAAAACAATTGTGTTGGTAACAAGGCACTTTGGATAGGCAGGGCTGTGGCATGTGGAATCCACTGTGTACAATATCAGGACACCCTCTTGAGATCCTCCATGTTTTCTAGGCTTGATAAGACTTGGATAGGCTCAGTCTGGGCACAGTGGCTCACACTTGTAATCCCAGCACTTCGGGAGGCTGAGGCAGGCGGATCACTTGAGGTCGGAAGTTCAAGACCAGCCTGGCCAACATGGTAAAACCCTGTCTCTACCAAAAAGTACAAAAATGAGCCAGGCATGGTGGCTCCTGCCTGTAGTCTCAGGTACTCAAGAGGTTAAGGTGGGAGAATTGCTGGAACTCAGGAGGCAGAGATTGCAGTGAGTCAAGATCGTGTATCAGCTCTTCCGGTCCTAGGAGCTTCGGGAACCGCGGCTTGGGTGCAGACATGGCCAAGTCCAAGAACCACACCACACACAACCAGTCCCGAAAATGGCACAGAAATGGTATCAAGAAACCCCGATCACAAAGATACGAGTCTCTTAAGGGGGTGGACCCCAAGTTCCTGAGGAACATGCGCTTTGCCAAGAAGCACAACAAGAAGGGCCTAAAGAAGATGCAGGCCAACAATGCCAAGGCCATGAGTGCACGTGCTGAGGCCATCAAGGCCCTTGTAAAGCCCAAGGAGGTTAAGCCCAAGATCCCAAAGGGTGTCAGCCGCAAGCTCGATCGACTTGCCTACATTGCCCACCCCAAGCTTGGGAAGCGTGCTCAGGCACGCATTGTCAAGGGGCTCAGGCTCTGCCGGCCAAAGGTCAAGGTCAAGGCCAAGGCCAAGGATCAAACCAAGGCCCAGGCTTCAGCTCCAGTTTCAGTTCCAGCTCAGGCTCTCAAAGGTGCCCAGGCCCCTACAAAGGCTTCAGAATAGATATCTTTGTCTGCCAATGTGAGGACAGAAGGACTGGTGTAACTCCCCTGGGGCTGCCATCTGCATGGGGCTGGGTTCCTCCTGTGCTATTTGTACAAATAAACCTGAGGCAGGATTAGTTAAAAAAAAAAAAAAAAAAGATCGTGTACCACTGCACTGCAGCCTGGGCAACAGAGTGAGACCCTGTCTTAAAAAAAAAAAAAAGACTTGGGTAGGCTTAGAGCTTGGCCATAATTCACCTTGGCTCAGAAGCCCTCCTGGGAAATAAGATTAAGCTAGCCTGATAGTGGAGGTTGAGAGGCCTGGGCTCAGCATCTGGGCTGACAGCTGGGAAGGGAGAGTGGCTAGAGAAAGTCTGAGGCTATAGTTGGGCCCCTCCTTTGCCCCTCCCTCAGTCTGTGTGTCAGGAAAGGATCATGCCCTGTAGGGATGGTAGACAGATTCATCCCTAGAAGCTGTGGGGACACTCTAACCCCGCCACCACCACCCGAGAATCCCCAAAACAAGTGGGAGAATCTCCTTACAGGCTGGTGAGAGATGAGTAGTGGAGGAGGCAGTGAGGGTTGTTTTGTTTTGGTGTGTGTGTGTGTGTGTGTGTGTGTGTGTGTGTGTTTGAGATAGAATCTCGATCTGTCGCCCAGGCTGGAATGCAGTGGCGAAATCTCTGCTCACTGCAACCTCTGCCTCCCAAGTTCAAGGAGTAGCTGGGACTACAGATGCCTGCCACCACACCCGGCTAATTTTTTTTTTTTTTTTTTTTGAGACAGAGTCTTGCTCTGTCACCCAGGCTAGAGTGCAGTGGTGTGATCTTGGCTTACTGCAATCTCTGCCTGCTGAGTTCAAGCGATTCTCCTGCCTCAGCCTCCTGAGTAGCTGGGACTACAGGCACGTGCCATCACACCTGGCTAATTTTATGTATTATTTTTAGTAGAGATGAAGTTTCACCATGTTAGCCAGGATGGTCTTGATCTCCTGACCTCATGATCTGCCCACCTCAGCCTCCCAAAGTGCTGAGATTATAGGCATGAGCCACTGCGCCAGGCCTGGCAGTGAGGGTTTTAATGGAACAGTAGCTGAGAGAGTACAGAGGCTCAGGGAAACTGAGGGTGTCCTTGAAACCATGTGTTGGGGGGTGCTGTGACATAGTTCTCCATCCCCACCCTGGGAGAAGGAAGACTAAGGTTGATCCTGCAGACTACCCTATGGGGCCCAAGGGACAGTGGATTTACATGAGAGCACCCAGAGTCTCTTGGGGTAACTACTATCAGAGAACCCTTGGGAAAGGCTGGAATTCCTGCCAGCGCTGGGCAAGCAGGGGACACACAAGTTATACTCTACTGTGGAAGCCTCACACGCCATCAGTGCAAGAATCTTCTTCAGGAAACAACCAAACCAAAAAAAGCCAGACCTCTTTAGTACCTGGCCCAGGGTTGATGCTCAAAGAATATTTGTCAAATGAATAATAAGTCTTCATTTATTAGCCTGTAAGTTTGGAATTACCATCTCATACTCTTGGCATCAAAAACGATCCTGTTCCCCGGAAACCCTGGCCCCGTTCACCTCTGTCGAGTCTGCACAAGAGTTCACATCAGGCCCAGCACCCACCTTCCTGGGTTCCTGGGCTCTCTGCCCTGACCTCTCACAGAGGTTGGGCCAGGGTAAAGAGAAGAGGGGGTGCCTGGCTGTGGAGGGTGGAGATAGTTGAAGGGACAGCTGCCTTCCCAACTACCAGCTCCACTTTGCAGTTCCCAAGTTCTGTCGCAGGAAGCCCTCTTCCTGGAGAGCTTTCCTGGATTTCTGCTACCTCTAACCCTGCCAAATTCCCTCCTCCAGGACAGACATGAATTCAAACATTTTTCATCTGCTGTGTCATTTAAGTTCTTTAATATTCTCAATCATCCACACCCCAAAAGCCCCTGTAACTGGGTGGATCACCACTCTCAAGGGGCCCCCTGTCCAATGGGAGAGACACAGCTTCACAGTTTGAAGGGGTGGCAGACCCCTGCCCCTAGCTCTAGCCTACAGAGGAGGAGGCTGGTCACATGCAAAAAATGCTCCAAGACCCAAGGAAGGAGTTGTGAGGGCAGATCATCAGCACCAAGCCCGTGCTGGGCAGGTGGGGTAACTGGTGGGGTAAGACCCCTCCTCCCAGACTGGGCTCCCGGGTTCCCAGCCTGGAGGGGTGTCACCCCAGCGGTAGTACCAAGGTAAGGGCCTGGGTGAGCTGGTGGCTTCTCATCCCCCTGTCTCTGTGGCTGGATGGAGTCGGTAGAAGCCAAGGGCTCGCAGGCGGGTGGCAGCTGTGGGGGAAGGCGGCGGGCCCATGGGCCGGCGTAGGCGGCTATAGGTCAGGAGCAGGTCAAACAGCAGCAGCTTGAAGAACAGCAGCCGCAGCGCCCCCAGCCGCAGCGCTCGACCAGGCATCCCTGCGAGGAAGAGCTGCTCAGGAGTTCGGAGGATCCCGCCGCCCCCCACCCCAGGAGAGAACGTCCACGGAGGAGGGGGCCTTGTTCCCTGACCTTGCCTGTCCTCTTCACGCCCTCCTCCAGGGCAAGTCCTTCCCGGTGTCTAACCTCCGTTCTTACTGGTAATAATAAATACCTTCCTAGCCTTCATTTTATTTTATTCCCCAACAATCATGGAGGTGGGAGTGGGGGCCAGGCAGGAATTAGCATCTGATGACGATAGTAACTAGCTCAAATTCTTTTTTTTTTTGAGATGGAGTCTCACTCTGTCACCCAGCTGGAGTGCAATGGCGTGATCTCAGCTCACTGCAACCTCCGCCTCTCAGGTTCAAGTGATTTTCCTATACCTCAGCCTCCTGAATAGCTGGGACTACAGGCGCACCACCACGCCCAGCTAATTTTTCTATTTTTAGTAGAGACAGGGGTTTCACCATGTTGGCCCGGCTGGTCTCGATCTCTCGACCTTGTGATCTGCCTGCCTTGGATGCTGGGATTACAGGTGTGAACCACCGTGCCCTGCCTCAAATTTCTCTATTTGGTCATGGAGCAGAGTTGGACCACAGCCCAACTTCATGACTGTCCAGTGCTCTTTCCATCACCCCAGACAGCCTCCCATTTACACAGCTGAGATCCCCTGCCTGGGCTGCCCAAGGAGAATCCAAAGACCCCTCTGTTAGCTGTCACCTGTGCTTCTCAACCAATGTCCAGGAATTAGGCTGGGGTCAGAAGATTTACCCCCATCTTATCCTCTCGTAGACTGAGGCCCAGCCAGCCAGTGCCCCAGCCAAGCATGACAGCCTCTACATGGGATACCCACCGACCCCCAGTGTAGGACCTGTTAGGCCAGAGCTGAATCCCCCAAGCCCCAGGCCCAAAGTCCTCGTCCCAGCCTCTTATTCCCCACCCCTTGCCCCAAGTACTCACCCCTGAGAGGCTCCTGGGGGCAGGTCCTGGCTGTGGAAGCCTCTCCTGTTGGCCAAGGAAAAGGGAGTGAGTCTTTAGGGATGGGCCATGCGCTCTGGAGGGCATCCCCAGTGGTATGCCCAGGCCCTGGCACAGGGTGACTGTCAAGGCATTCGAGGTGAATGGACAAGTGAGCCAGCAGCAAACTTGAGCCCATTTGCTGCAAGTCCTCTGAGGGGCCAAACATCCCTCACTTTGCACCGTCCCCTGTTCTAGGCCCTGGTGAGGCTGGGGTGCCTGGCATTCTCAGATAAGGAACTGACCATCTTCATAGCATTCTTTCGAAGTTGGGGCACTTAGTCAACAAAATTCTCATTTGGAAGATGACAAAACTGAGATAATCCCAGAGAGGAAGCAAGTCATCTGGTCAGTGATGATAATAGCTGACCACGGCTGGGTGCGGTGGCTCGTGCCTGTAATCCCAGCACTTTGAGAAGCCAAGGCGGTGGATCATGAGGTCAGGAGTTTGAGATAATCCTGGCCAAACATAGTGAAACCCTGTCTCTACTAAAAAATACAAAAAAAATGAGCCGGGCATCGTGGTGGGCGCCTGTAATCCCAGCTACTCCGGAGGCTGAGGTGGGAGAATTGCTTGGGAGGCAGAGATTGCAGTGATGAGCCGAGATCACACTGTTGCACTCCAGCCTGGGTGACAGAGTGAGATTCTGTCTCAAAAAGAAAAAAAAAAAAAAAAAAGGCTTACTATTTCAAAATACAATGGAGGGGAAAAAAATAGCTGGCTTCAGACACGTTAGTTAACCTCGACGTGCCTGTAAAATTGAGGGAATGATATGACCTGTCTCATAAATGTGAAGTGTGTAGAGCACTGCCTGGCACAGAATAAACACTCAATAAGTGGTAGTGATTTGTTATTTAATTAGTTTGGTCTTTATAGGGTGTCATGTACACTGGGTGATATATCTGTGTGTATAATGAATCTTAGGTGGAAGGAGGCATTTTCATCCTTGGAAGCCATGCTGCAGAGCCTGGATTTCATACAGGTATTGCAGTTACAAATCCCAGAATTCATGGCTCTGAGGCCACTCTCCCCTGAGCCCAGGCATCACCTGACCTGAAGGCTCTGCACTTCACACCTTTCATGCCTTTGTAGCCTGGAGCCTGCCCTCCCTCCAACCATATCCTGGTATGTGCAAGGGGACAGGGAGCATCCACAAGGACCCAGGCTCCATCCGCACCTGACAGCTGCAGGGGCTGTGTACTCCTGCTGTGGCCCTCAGTCCCAGGCCCGGTGTGGCAGACCAAAGGCTCCCAGAATGCCAGCTCCTCAGAGGGCAGGGAGAGGTGGGCCAGGCTGGTCCAGGTGCCATCCATTGCTGGGGAAGGACCATAGGTGAAGGCATCCAGGGCACTGCCATTGCCGGCTGAGAACCAGATGGGGCTGTCAAGGCCAGAGGGTGCAGCATCAAGGACCAGGCAGACCACCACCATCTTCTGCTTCCCATCCACCAGTAGCGTGATTGGTGGGGCCAGAGAGGGAAAGGGTGTGCCGCCAACACCTGCAAGAGAGCGTGCACCTGTGGCTGCGAGACCAGCTTGTGGCCTCCCAGGCCAGCATTGCATTGTAGGCTAGGGTTCTACATTTCTATCTTTCTATCCATCCATCCTTCTACCATCCATCTACCTGTCCTTCTAGACACTCATCCATCCCTCCCTCTTTGCATTTTCCCATCTAGCCACACTTCCTTCCCTCCATCTGCCTATCCTTTCATTCACTCACCTATTTACTTATCCCTTCTTCTATCAGCCAACAATCCTCCATCTATTCTTTGTCTTTCATCTATGTATCTGTCTATCCATCCACCTACCTCTCCTTCCATCCACTTGTCTATGATATCTGTGCCAGGAACTAGAGATACAACATTGGGTAAGTCATTGTCCCTGCTCTCAAGGAACTCAGTTCCATGGGAAAGCCAGTAGATGTGTAAACAAATACTTGTACCCTGTGTGGCAGCCTCTGGGGAGGAAGGGAAGGAAACAGCACATGGAATGAGATTAGAGGGGCTTTCAAATAGATCTGAAACTTTTTGTTTCTTTTCTGAAAAGTCTGATTTAAATATGTCAAAATGTTAAATATTTGTTAATCTAGGTGGAGTGTGCATGGGTATTTGTTCTTTAATTCTCAACTTTTTTCTGTAGGCTTTTTTTTTTTTTTGAGACAGAGTCTTGCTCTGTCACCAGACTGGAGTGCAGTGGCATGATCTTAGCTCACTTCAACCTCCACCTCCTGGGTCTAAGCAATTCTTCTGCCTCAGCCTCCTGAATAGTTGGGTTTATAGGCATGAGCCACCATGCCCAGTTAATTTTTGTATTTTTGGTAGAGACTGGGTTTCACCATGTTGACCAGGCTGGTCTTGAACTCATGACTTCGTGATCCACCCTCTTTGGCCTACCGAAGTGCTGGGATTACAGGAGCGAGCCGCCGTGCCTGGCTCACTCTTTTTTTTTTAAACTCTTTTTTGTCTGGGCATGGTGGCTCGCACCTGTAATCCCAGCACTTTGGGAGGCCGAGGTGGACTGATCACGAGGTCAGGAGTGCAAGACCAGCCTGGCCAACATGGTGGAACCCCATCTCTACTAAAAATACAAAAATTAGTCGGGCGTGATGGTGCGCACCCATAGGTAGTCCCAGCTACTGGGAAGTCTGAGGCAGGAGAATCGCTTGAACCTGGGAGGTGGAGGCTGCAGTGAACCAAGATGGCACCACTGCACTCCAGCCTGGGAGACAGAGTGAGACTCCAAAAAACTTAATAAACAACAATAATAATAATGTAATGGGGTTAATAACATGAGCCTAGCAAAATGGTTGTGAAGAGTAAAGGCCATAAGTGTAAAATGCCCTTGCAGATAAGTATTATTAGTGCAATTATCAATATTAATATTAATAAGGCATTGCAAAGGTAGTAGAGAAGTCTGGGAGTGAGCTCCAGGACTCAACCTTCAGAGTCTTTCCCCAAGTTGAGTTCAGCTTCCACTTCTTCCATGAAGCCTCCCAGGATTGTTCCTGCTTACCCTGGCTACTTCCTTCCAGGAGCTCAGGCCTCCTGCCATGGGAAAGGTTTTTTTTTTTTTTCCTCATCTGGGTGCATACATCCACATAAGTGTGTTTTCTCTCTAATGACAGAGTGCCTGTGAGATACTTGGGGCCAGCTTTAGATCAAGGAGGCCCCAGCCTGACTCAAAAGTCAAGGATCTCCCCCCACTACACACAAGCACACATGTACATGCTTCTAGATGAAGCTGGAATTCTCCCCTCAAAGCATGATTCCTTTGGCTCCAGCCTTGATCATGGGAGGGCTGGGGGTAAATACCCTGGGAAGAGGCCTTGGGACCTATCCTGATCCCCTTAATAAGGGGGAGCTGGGAGTGAACTTGAGACACCCTGAGTCCTATTAGACTAGGGCAGGTGCCCAGAGGGCAAGAAGGACAGGACAGGACCTCACAATGTCACCCATGTCCCATCACTGCATATCACATCACACATCCTGGCTCCCCTAACCCCACCTGCTGTGGATGCTCGTCCAGTTTGTTCTCATTCCTCTCTACCTCTAGGAGGGGCAGCCTCCCTACCAACACTGTGGGCTCCAGGGCAGGAGGACGTGGGGTCCCCAGGGCAAGGTGGCTAGGAAGACGAGTACAGTGGGAAGAGTATAGTGGGTGAGATCCTCCCCAGGGGTCCCTAAATGGCTCTTGTCCTGCCTCCCTGCAACCCATCAATAGCCAGGGAGGTCCAGAGTGAGGGGATGGGCTTGGGCAGACTAAGGAGGACCAGAAAGGAATGCAAAGAAGGGGCTCACCTGTGGGTAGGGCTGGACACCGAAGGGCCAGGAGAAGTAGCAGCCATGTGCCAGCCATGGCCCTCTCAGAAGGAGGCAGGACCCAGCTGCAGACCTGAGTTGTGGGCTGGGGGAGGAGGCACCCACAAGACTGCCTTCCAGGCCACAGGCCCAGCTGCATCTCAGCTGCTCCACCACGAGCCGTTTCCCCTGTGATGGGCCCCTCCTCCTGCCCTGGCCCCCAAACCCAATCTTGTCTCATGGGCCAGGGAGCACAGGGTGCCTCCCTCACACCAGGAGCTGGACGCCTGCACTCCCTCTGAAGAGCACCTCAGTCTGCAGAGCCCTCCTTGAGGGCAGCTACCATCCATAGCACACACAGCACCAGGTGGCTTGACAGGGGCTTGATGTGCATCCCTTTACTTGGTCCACCCAACCACTGTGAGTTCACTTCGCAGGTGAGGCAAATGAGGCTCACAGAGTGTGAGGGACCTGCCCAGGGCCACACAGCTGACAGGTAGCAGAGCCCGGGCCTGAACTGTTTTCAGATGGCTGGCTCTATTATAGGCAAAAAGATGCCCAGTAAACTTTTTGCCATGTTGTTAAACCCTCCTTTTAATTTTACTTAAATTTTCATTTTATATTTTTTTAGAGATGGGGCTCGCTCTTTGTTGCCCAGGATGCGAGAATGCAGCGGTGCAATCATAGTTCACTGTAGTCTTGAACTCCTGGGCTCAAGTGATCCTCCTTCATCAGCCTCCTGAGTAGCTAAGACTACAGGCATGTACCACCACACCCAGCTAATTTATCTTTTTATTTTTGTAGAGCTGGAGTCTTGCTTTGTTGCCTATACTGGTTTTGTACTCCTGGGCTCAAATGATCCTCCTGCTCTGGCCTTCCCAAGTGCTGGGATTATAGGTGTGAGCAACCATGACTGGCATTTATTATACCATTTAAAATTTTTTTTTTTTTTAGGAGACAGATTCTTGCCCTGTCACCAGGCTGGAGTGCTGTGATGCAATCATAGCTCACTACAATCTTGAACTCCTGGGCTCAAGCAATTCTCCCACCTCAGCCTTTTGGATTTTTTTGGAGAGTCTGGCTTTATCACCCAGGCTGGAGGGCAGTGGCATGATCTCAACTCAATGCAACCTCTGCCTCCTGGTCTCAAGCGATCCTCCTGCCTCACCTTCCCAAGTAGCTGGGACCACAGGTGTGCCACCGCACCCAGCTAAATTTTTGTATTTTTTTGCAGAGACTGGGTTTCACCATATTACCAGGTTGGTCTCCGACTCTTGAGCTCAAGCAATCCACCCTCCAAAGTTCTGGCACTACAGGTGTGCGGCACTGTGCCCGGCCTCCTTGTTTGTTTTTTCTAAGACATTCTGTTACAGCAGCCGTTCTTTTATTGTTAGACATTTGGGTTTCCAGTCTGGGGCAATGGATATCTTTGTTCATAAAGGCTTTTCCAAATTTACTTTTTTTAAATTTTGAGACAGGGTCTTGCTCTGTCACCCAGACTGGAGTGTGGTGGCACGATAATGGCTCACTGCAACTTCCACCTCCTCGGCTCAAGCGATCCTCCTGCCTCACCCCCAAAAGTAAGGTCTTCAGTAGCTAAGACCACAGGCGTGCACCACCACCTGGCTGTTTTTTGTATTTTTGGTAGAGACAGGATTTTACCATATTGCCCAGGCTGTTCTCAAACTCCTGAGCTCAAATGATCTGCCTGACTTGACTCCTTAAAGTGCTGGGATTACAGGCTTGAACCACCTCACCCAGCCCCCTAAATTTACATTTATTTCCTTACAATTATCGGCTAAAGGCCTCTGTAATTTTGTTTGTGGTTTGTTTTTTAACTTTTAAAAAATTATTTCTTATTTCTTTTTTTGACATCAGAATACGAACACACACAAAAAAACGAACACAAAATAAAGTATTTTTTTTCTCATCCTGGTGCAGATGTCAATGTTGTTCAACTGTTAAAGAAGTTCTAATTGTGGTAAGATACTCTTAAGATAAAATTTACCATCTTAACCATTATTTATTTATTTATTTGTTTTGAGACAGGATCTTAGGCCTGTAATCCCAGCACTTTGGGAGGCTAAGGCAGGTGGATCACCTGAAGTCAGGTTTCGAGACCAGCCTGGCCAATGTGATACACATATACAAAAATACAATACAAATACAAAAGTTAGCCAGCCATGGTGGCAGGCACCTGTAGTCCCAGCTATTTAGGAGGCTGAGGCAGGAGAATCCTTTGAACCTGGGAGGCGGAGGTTATAGTGAGCTGAGATGGTGCTGTTGCACTCCAGCCAGGGTGACAGAGCAAGACTCCTGCTCAAAAACAAAACAAAACAAAACAAACAAACGAACAAAAAAACCAAGAGACTGGAGCCTGCTATTTTGCCTAGACTGGAGTGCAATGTCTATGCACAGATGTGATTATAGTGCATCGTATCTTCAAACTCATGGTCTCAGACTACAGAGTAGTTGGCACTACAGGGGCATACCCCCACACCTGGCCTGACATGTTGTCCAGGCTGGTCTCGACAACTGTCTCTTTTTCTTTTTTTTTTTTGAGACAAAGTCTAACTCTGTTGTCCAGGCTGGAGTGCAGTGGCGCAATCTTGGCTCACTGCAACCTCTGCCTCCCAAGTTCATGCCATTCTCCTGCCTCAGCCTCCTGAGTAGCTGGGATTACAGGCACACAGCATCACATCTGGCTAATTTTTTGTATTTTTTAGTAGAGACGGGCTTTCCCTATGTTGGTCAGGCTAGTCTCGAACTCCTGACCTCGTGATCCACTGGCCTCAGCCTCCCAAAGTGCTGGGATTACAGGTGTGAGCCACTGAGCCTGGCCACCCATCTAATTTTTAATTTTATTTTTATTTTTGTAGCGATGGGGGCCTCACTATGTTGCTCAGGCTGGTCTCCAACTCCGGGCTTCAAGTGATCCTCCCGCCTTGGGCTCCCAAAATGCTTGGATTACAGGCATCATCAAGTAAACTTTTTTTTGGTTTGTCTTTCTGAGATGGAGTCTCACTTTGTCACACAGGCTGGAGTGCAATGGCGCGATCTTGGCTCACTGCAACCTCCACCTCCCAGGTTCAAGCGATTCTCCTGCCTCAGCCTCCTGAGTAGCCAGGACTACAGGTGCATGCCACCATGCCCGACTAATTTTTGTACTTTTAATAGAGATGACATTTTGCCATATTGGCCAGGCTGGTCTCCTGACCTCAAGTGATCTGCCCCCCTCAGCCTCCCAAAGTGCTGAAATTATAGGCATGAGCCACCGCGCCTGGCCCCAAGTAAACTATTTAATCATATTTTGAGCTTCAGCCTCTTCCTTTGAGGTCAACACCCCTATAGAGAATGAACACATTCATACTTCTATGATCTTTTTGTGCATGTGTGGTTTAACTCCAACCCTTCACCTTAACTCTACCAGGAATTAATTTTGGTGTATGGTAGAAGATGTGCATCTAAATTACATATTTTTTTACTGTAATTATCCTACAGTATTTATTGAATAATCCCTCCTGACCCCATTATTTACAAAATGTTCCTTATTGCATGTTAATGTCTTTTATGTAGGCAATTTTCCTTCTTCCTGGCTCCCTGAAAATTCTTTTTTTTTTTAGATGGAGTTTCACTCTTGTTGCCCAGACTGGAGTGCAATGGTGTGATCTCAGCCCACCACAACCTCTGCCTCCCGGGTTCAAGCGATTCTCCTGCCTCGGCCTCCCAAGTAGCTGGAATTACAGGCATGTGCCACCACGCCCGGCTAATTTTGTATTTTTTGTAGAGACGGGGTTTCTCCATTGTTGGTCAGGCTGGTCTCGAATTCCCGACCTCAGGTGATTCGCCCGCCTCGGCCTCCCAAAGTGGTGGGATTACAGGCGTGAGCCACTGCGCCCGGCCTGGAAACTTCTTTAGTCTGGTGCCAGCCTCACCCGATTTCTGTCTGGATGGCTATTTTAATAATGATGTGGATGGCGCTTTCCTGACCGTCCTGAGGAAACGCTCTGCCGCCAGGGCTGCGTTCCCCGCCCTTGCTTTCCCAGGGCTGTCTGGAGGCCGCGGACCCGGCGCGTTCCCAGGCACAGCCCGCGCCCAGGTGCGCGCCGACGCGGTGGGTTTCCCTCGGGAGGGGGAGGGAGCGGGGCAGGTGTCCCTAACGACTCTCCCACCCTTCAACCCAGAGAGGAGCCGGGCTGGCCCCCGTTACCACTTTACAGATGGGGGAAAGAGCTCTGCCGCCTTTTTCAGATTTCAGGATCTTCCCGGGAACCGGAAAGAGAAAGACCCTCCCCACCCCCGCACCAGCCGCCTCCCTATGCGGTAGCTGACCGTTCCTCTATCCGCTCCAGCTCCCGCGGGACTCAGGCGTCCCTGGGTATCGCAGCCTGAAAGCGTTCCTTGCCTTCTTCTCATATCGGTCTTCTCTTTCTAGCATCCCCAGGAGTTTCCTTCGGATCCCATAGTCTTGCTGGCCCTGAAGACGCCTTGCCCAGGGCGGACGCGTTGGCCTTTGAACTCCTCGCCGTGGGCGAACCTACCATTTGCGGGACATGACTTGTTCCTAGATATCTAATTTAATCTTCACAACCACCCCACCAGGTGTTATCACTCCCAATTTACGCCTAAGGAAACAGCTGAGAAAAATTAAGTTGCAACGCTGAAGATACCTTAGCAGGCCAATGGTAGAGCGGGCTGGAGCCGGCAGATCGATGAGCACAGAGATGTGTTTACAGGGCGTCTCTTCCAAAGCTCCTTCACAAGGCTGCTGGGAAAGAGAAATGAAACAGGGGCGCCCATTTGCGTACTCACTCTAAGTGATATCTACCCTCCGTTTTTTCTTACATACAGGTGGAAAACTAAGGCCCTTGGTAAACTGAAATGAGCCACAAAGGAGGTGAAAAATAAAATTTAAAAAAGTAGGCTGGGCGTGGTGGCTCACGCCTGTAATCCCAGCACTTTGGGAGGCTCAGGTGGGCGGATCACCTGAAGTCAGGAGTTTGAGACCAGTCTGGCCAGCCTGGCCAACATGGTAAAACCTCGACTCTACTAAAAGTACAAAAATTACCCGGGTGTCGTGGCGGGTGCCTGTAATCCCAGCTACTCCGGAGGCTGAAGCAGGAGAATCGCTTGAGCCTGGGAGGTGGAGGTTGCAGTGAGACCAGATCGTGCCACTGCACTCCAGCCTGGGTGACAGTGCAAGACTCCATCTAAAAAAAAAAAAAGTTTATACTTGAGGCTGGATACAGTGACTCATACCTGTAATCCCAGCACTTTGGACTTTGGGAGATTAAGGTGGGAAGTGGAGGATGGGTTGAGCTCAGGTGTTCGAGACCAGCCTGGGCAACATAGCGAGACTTCTCTTTACAAAAAAATACTTCCAGTGGTTATAGACTTTAGATGTAATAGTGAGGGGCCCTCTGCCACCCCTCCCTCTTGGTAGTATATATGATTTTGGTTTTGATTTAAAAAATATGCTGTGTAGTCTGGGCACGATGGCTCAAGCCTGTAATCCCAG